CAGGCCCCCGCACAGTTCGGTATGTTCACATCCACCGGAAACTCGCTGTGACTGCACAGCCCCTTCTCTGCCCTGGCGCACACTAGGACGCCCCGGAGTGTGTGAAAGGAAACCAGTATTTGTCAAGCAGCTTCTGTGTTTCAGGTGCTTTTATGAACCTGAGCTCATGCAAGTCTTTATAACTACCAGGCAAATCGATTCAGCCCATTTTGTAGTTAAAGAAAGTGAGGCTCAGAGAGGTGAAATAAATTGCCCAAGGTCACATAGCTTGAAACACGCCAGAATGTCAAGTCTTCTGACTTCAAGCCAAGTGCCCCCTTGCACGGATGCTAGCGTCTTGGGGTGGTGCCACCGGAGCTCTTATCGAAGAAAACCACACATCCAAAAGCAGAGACTTCCCACTGCCCGACCAGTTTTCATTCTCTCCTCGTCCTTATCGTTACTTATTGGGGGTGCGGTGGCCGGTGTTTAGGAAAGAAATCATGTCCTTCCAGCAACAGCAGCTGCTGTTGTCTCAGGCTGGGCTTCCTGGGAAGTAGACAGGGACGCTGGGGTCTGCGTGCAGGGACTGTGATGCTCTTAGAATCAGCTCGCATGGGGGAGGGCGGGAGGCAGGGCTGGGCAGAGGGGAAGAATTGCAATGCGGTCGCAACAGAGGCCCCTCCGTAGAAAGTTCTGGAGCCGGAAGGGCCCTTAGCGCCTTCCTGCCGTGAGCCGACAGGGCTGGGCCTTTGTACTGGGATGGTCCCATCACTGGATCTGAGCTGCCCCCATGGAAGGGGCGTGACTTTGAGCAGCTCTCTTTGGTTAAGGGTAATTCTCAGAGAATAATATGGACAAATCATGAGTATAACATATAGCCAAATTATATTAATAGTTTGGTTAATGGTAATTCCCAGCTCAGAGCCCTCAGCAGCCAACACCTGGCAGCACAAAGGTGGGGTGCTTCATGTGTAAATCGGCACCTGTGGGCACAGCGCACCCCCACTCCCACCGTGAGCCGGAAATCCAGTTCACAGCCCTGAGCTCAGGTACCCAACTCAGGAGACCCGAATGGCTGGGGCAGGTTTGGGATGAAGGTCCCCAGCCCATGCCTGGTGTAAGTGGAGATGGCAGGGGGCCGCGGCCATCGCCAGGCTGCTCCATGGGGCAGACAGTGACAGATGTTTAGTTGGATTTATCAATAGCAAGGAGAAAAGCAGAATGCCATTATGGAAACCATCAACGCTAAACAGTTATTAATCTGAACTACAAATTTATAGCTAAGCTGCTTTTTGGCCAAAGGAAAAAGAAAAATCAGATCATTTGGCATGATTTACATCAGATGCAAGTTGATTTTACAGGAAAAGTAAAGGATTTTCTCCCCAGTGGCTAATTCCAGTTCAATTTTGATTTTTTTAAAAACCTCATGAGCAGGTGAGTGCAGGCTGGAGTCGATTAAACAGGATGAGAAGTCCCCTGACACAGTGACAGTCCTGGGTTCCTTGTGGCCCCTCAGCGTGGCCAGATGAAGGGTGTGCATCTATCTGGCTGAGCGGGAGTCTGGGTGAACCTGGGATACCGATTCTCTTCTTTTTCTGAGGAGCAGGTATGCATCCCAGCACACAGTAGGGCCGCCTGGAGGACGGGAGGAATGCATAGCCTGCTCCACTGTTCTCTGTCTTAGAAATGGCGCTAGTACACACAGGGCTTTTCAAGTGGGAAATCTGGAACTCATCACTGATTTCCTCCTTTCCCTCCCCTCCCCAAACCCAAATCATTGTCATGTTTCTATAATACCTCCAGAATGCATCTCAAATCCTTCCAGCACCTTCCACGTCTGCTGCCCCACCCTAGCCCAGCCCACGCCACCCCCTGCCTCACTTCTTGCAACCTGGCCTCCTCCTCTCTGCCTGTTTCCATGCCTGCCTCCTGTTAAATCCATTCTCCACCACCCAGTTGCATTTATCTTATAATCAGACTATGCCACAACCCTGCTTAAAACTCTTCAATGTCTTCCCTTTGCACTTTGCATTAAGTCCCCAATTCTTACCCCAACCCTGCTTGATCTGAACTCTCTCTACCTCTCTAGCCTCATTTTGTGCCCTAATCACCCATGTCGCTGTTCTCCAGAAGGTCAGGGACTGTGTCTGTCGTGTTCATGGCCCTATGCTCATCCCCTAGCTCAGGACCTGGCATGAGTTAGCATTCATAAACACTTATGGGATGGATGGATGGACAGAGGTCCCGTGGGCAGCCACGTCTGATCAGAAAACAGATGATAGCTTCTCTTGGCAATGGCTCATGGCCAAGCCATGGACTCCAAATTCAGAGAGGCCTCCCTCTTGCCATACTGAACCCCAGCTTTGAGTCATGGGTGGTTCTGGCTCCTGTGATGTACGAGGTTTGGAAAGATGTAAGAACCACGGATGCAGTGCGACTTGTAGCCTCCAAGTGCAGCCCAGCCCAATACGAGTTAAACAACTCAGGATCTTCACACGGTAGTTGACCTGCCTATTTGTACTTCTTTCCTTTCTTTAATCTTTCAGTGGGGCCTCAGTCTTCCCTCTTGCATTATAAATTTCCTCTGTTTGGTGGCTGTCCATGGCAGAGAGTGTATTCCCCACCTTCCAATCCCCCCCATCCCTCCCACCCCGTCAATCAGTGCGACAGAAACACCAGCCGGCCTCCTCGGACCTCCAGCCTCTCAAAGACCCATCACCTGGGCTGTGTGATGCTTCTTGTTCTAAGTGCATCTTTGATTTAATAAACATTTTTGAATAAAATTCTGCATACGTTTTTCATGTTGGAAAGTCCCACACCCCCCCCCCCGCTTCGATGTAATAGAAAACCTGAAAGAGAAGAGGGATCTTGAGATTTGGGGGTCCCTTTCTGTCTAGACTTGTCCGCCTTCTGAACAGAGCGTGCTGTGCTGTTTTCAAAGGCCTTCTCACTTTTGGGGAAGGCAGACCTCTGAACACCTCTTTACAATGTACTTCTTCCAGACACCGCCTGGCGTTGCCATCTTCCCTAAGCACATTTGCATGCTAGCTCTGCAGTGTGCTGGCAAGAGCTTGGGATGGCATCAGACAGAGCCAGCAGAAAAGCCATTTACTTACCGTGTGATCTTGGGCAAGTTGCTCAACCTCTCTGAGCCTGTCTTGAATAAGTTTTGCGTGGATTAAATGAGAAGATATGTGTGAAAATGCTGGATTTGTGTTCATTTATCTTTCTTTCTTTTCCTATTCCATTGCTTAAATTATTTCTATTAAATTTTTTATGGAAACTGTTAAGTCTTCCTCCAAATTGGCATGATAATCAAGGAAGCAAGTTTTTATTTCAAAAAAAGTTAGACAATCATAGAATAAAACAACAACATACACACAGAGCTGTGTGATTCTTCTACCTGAATCACATATTCATTCACTCATTTTAGGTGAATGTTTTGGGTGCTGGGTACTATGGCATCCTAAGATGCAGAAGAGACTTCTGTCCCTGTTGAGGGAAGCCTAAGCAGGCAACTCTACAGATATCAATGAAGGTCATTGCCAAGGCCAACTCTGAGCCCCACATGATGCATGAGAATTGGAGAGAAGCACATGAGAAAAACCATAGATGCAAATGGGTTCCGTTATACAACTGGGTAGCTCTCAGCAGACACCCACTCCCAACCAATCTCCAGCCTTTCAGTAGGACCAATGGTCATTTGGGGGATTACTATTTATTACTAACATGTATTAATTGTGTGCCCAGGGTTTGGGTCTGTGGATAGAGATGGGAGAACAGACCACAGCCACGGTCACATTCATGCCTCAGTTTCCCCATCTGTGACATCAGGATAAATATCAGTATATACCTTATGGGGTTGTTATGATGGGTTAGGATGTGTAAAGTTCAAAGTGCTTGGAACCATGCCAACTCCTAGTGAGTGCTCTGAGAACATTTGTTAAATGGCCTACCCTCCGCAGTGTCTATGCGGAGCTCCAAATATTGCTAACTGCCCTTGCATCCTCGCCCCAGTTCATTAGCATAAAAGATGTTAAAAATACATTTCATTGATGCAATAAGCAATACTCAAGCTATAGGGCTGGCTGGAAAGATTGGCTAGGTACCTTTACCCTGGCATAAACAAAATAAAAGAATCTGGTAAAACGGGCTGCCTGACACCTAGAAGAGAAGACTTCCAGGTCTAGGCTTCCATTTGTTCTTGCTTCTGACTCCTGGTCCAGCCAGAGGGCCACTGACCCTGCCATTGAGCTACTATTGCAAAATGACACTTTCCTGCAAAGTGCATGTCAGAGAGCCTGAAGAGGCAAAGTGGGACTGACACGGACCCACATGTGGGTGATTTTATGCCTCTTTGTACGTGTGGCAGCACTACTTTCATTGTAAAGCCACCAGTAGCAAGGTTGAGAGGGGAGGATGTGTAGGTCCCATCTCCCTCTCATTACCAGAGACCCCTATTATTTCCAAAAGAGCCTGACAGCCGTTGAATGGACAAATTGGCTTAGGTCAGTTCACAACACAGAAAGTGTTTAGAACAGTTCCTGCCACATAGCACGGACCCCCGGCGTTCAGTGTCGCTACCCTAACGACGTAATTAGAGAAGGGGCAAGAGTTAGATCACCTGGAACAGAACACACGGGCCCCAGGATTGGAGAAGAGGCAGTCAGGAAGAGCGAAACTCGGCCTCCAGGGCTCGGGGTGTAGTCCTAGCTCCCTCTCATACCAGCTTTGACCCCTGGGTAAATCAGCAGCGTCCCTGCACGCTCAGTTTCCTCAACTGTAAAATGTAGTTCATCTCACCAGTTTGGCCAACGTCGTTATTAGGTGCTGGCATGCTTCATAAACGCAGTGCCCTCCCCAAACGTGAGGGTTGGGTATTCTGTTGGCCTCGCCATTTCCCCCTTCCCGGAACCGTTGGTTATTGATTTGCGTGCCGTCACCGAGCTTTGCCCCTAGCTGGCATTTCTACAATTGCTTGTGCAGTCGTTGTTTATCAGTTGGCCCCGAGACTTGAATGCACCTCTTCCTCCAGGGTTCATTTTCTCCTCCAACCGGCTGGGCTCTGCGGAATGTGGACCTTCCAGCCTGTGGGCCTGGCCCACCCCAGGCAGGGGACTTTGCGGAGGACACATGTGAGTGGGGCATCTGTTTGGGCACCCACCAAATACTCAGGTTATAACAGAAAACCTCAAAGGGAGGCGGGATCTTGAGGTTTGGGTGTTTCTGTCTGTCTGTCCCCTCAGCCCCCACCTCACTGCTGCGAATGTGACTCTCACCCTCAAGACCCTGCCTGGACCTTGGCAGTAGCCGCTGATTTCTCAGCCCTGCCCTCAAGCCCAGCCTTGGGGGAGTGATCTTCTGCAATACAAATCCAGTTGTCTCACTCATCTGCCTAAAACTCCTCCACGTGCCTCACTGTCTACTGGACAAAGTCTGGACTGATTAGCTGGTGTGGGAAGCCGGGCTGATCTGGCCCCTGGGACTTCCACTTTCTCCTCTTCCCCTTCCCCACCCCCAGCTTTGACCCTCCCCATCCCCACTCCCCTGACACCTCCTGAGCTCCCACCCTGTCTGATGCCTTCGTTTATTCACACCCATGGCTTCCCTGTCGGGAGAGCCTTCTCCCACCTCTGGTCTGTAGAGAATTCCATTCTTTTCTCCTTAAAAACACAGCTCTGGGATCTCCTGTGTGAAGCTTTCTTCCCCTGGAAGTGGGAGTCAGCTCTCGACCCTGAGGACTCCTTGGCATCTTGTGCATTTACGGCCCCAAGGCCCTGGTGTGCCACTCCTGGGGACACTTTGGGGCTGAGACTGTGATTCTCTCATCTTTGGATCTCTAGCACATGGCGCACAGTAGGTGTTCAATAATTGCTGAATGACATAGCTGTGCATATGTCACCTTAAGGGTGTGTGATGTGACGGGGATCTCAGAGGGGCATTTACAGGGGGTCAAAGAGAGGAGAAAGAGGGAAGGAGGAAGGCAGGCTTAGCAACCGGCTGTAGTGCCCTCTGGACATGACAGGTCCCTAAATCCAGTCTGAGTCTGTTCTGATTTTTATCCTCAACCTCTACACTTGGGACTAAGTCAACAACAGCAAATAAATAAAAGGAGCAGGAGCCTTTGTCAATGGGCCCCTAGGAACTGATTCCTGCAGAAACAGAGAGTCCCCAGTCTGTCACTTCCTGCAGGTGCTGGCTCCACTGGAGGTTCCCACTGTCTCCGAGCAGATCTTTGCTGCAAGCCCATCTTGACGGCTGGATCTTGCCGCCCCCGTGTTCTAGGGATTGGTTATTCCACAGTTGGGACTATTAAGACCAAGTGAATTAAACAGCACATGCGAAGGTCTTTCGCAGTACCTTGCAAGTAGCAAGCACTCAATAAATGCAGCTGTGCTTTTTGTGGGCCGTCTAAAAGCAAGACATGCAACCACCACAATGTAGGAATCGTGTGTATTGCAGGAGAAAATCATTAATGTACTTCGTGTGACATCCGAGTGATTCTTTCATGACGCTGACATTCTCCATTTGGTTCCTCCTTGTGTGCCCCTGAAAAAATCGCTGTCGCAACCGTTATACCCCTGGATCATTTTCTTGTGAAGAAACCATGTATTTTCTGGAAGCTAAGCTCATTTTGTGGTTGCCCTGTAGGAATGTGGGCCTAGTGTAGCCAGAGAGTTAGCTCTTCCCAGAGAAGCCTGAAATCCTAACATCTCCTCACGTCTAAAAGTCGATAGTGAATGCATTGATTTGTAACCTGCGTGGGCTGACATTGTAGGCGTCGCCTAGAGCACATCTGAGGGCCAGCTTTGGGCTCTGCTCCCAGCTCTCTCTCCTCCCAGTGTTTGGATCCTGCGCGGATTCTCCCGCTGGACTGGGCAGGCCCCTGGGAGATGACACAACTCGGTGGTGGGAGGCTGCCGAGGGGGCAGAGTCTGGGCTTCCTGCTGGCTCGGCCCAAGTGATTAATTATAAAAATAAGGGTGACATCATCCCTCCTCTTTTCAACCCTATACCCTCCCTCTCCCCCCCGAAGAAAGAACACATTTGCTGGCCTGTCTGCTGACTTCCCTGGCCCCTGGCCTCGGTGCTGAGGAAGAACAGCCCAGTCCCTGCTTGCTACTGGGGGGACAGGAGGGCAGGGGGTGGGCAGCCACCATGCACACTCCTCTCTGTGCACCCCTTTTCCCTATGTCCTGCCCAGACTTCCCTGCAGTCTTTGGGAGGGGTGAGAGAAGGGAGTGGTGGAAGGTGTTTGGATTTCTTACCAGAAACTAATTATGATGGTGGCTCATGCCTGTAATCCTAGCACTCTGGGAGGCCGAGGCGGGAGGATCGCTCAAGGTCAGGAGTTCGAAACTAGCCTGAGCAAGAGCAAGACCCTGTCTCTACTAAAAATAGAAAGAAATTACTTGGACAACTAAAAATATATAGAAAAAAATAGCCAGGCATGGTGGTGCATGCCTGTAGTCCCAGCTACTCGGGAGGCTGAGGCAGCAGGATCGCTTGAGCCCAGGAGTTTGAGGCTGCTGTGAGCTAGGCTGATGCCACGGCACTCTTGCCCAGGCAACAGAGTGAGACTCTGTCTAAAAAAAAAAAAAAAAAAAAAGAAAAGAAAAGAAAAGAAAAAAAGAAATGAATTATGCTGCATTTATCTGAACAGAATTGAATATTTTTCTTCCCCAAATCTTCTGTCTATGGTCATTGATTCTTCTTACTTTTTTGTATTGCTAGATTGAATGTTGCTGAAGAAGCAATGCTAAATGGTAAGCGCATATACAAGAAAAATATAAGCAGGAGCGATGGCCCTGGAATGTTTGCCTTGGCGGGGTTTGCCTTCCTGTAGCAGCGCGGGTGTGGTCACCTGCAGTCTGTAGCTTTGACCAAAAGCCTCTCTCCAGCTAACTTTCCGGGCCAACCAGTGCAGTCGGGAGTGCAGACTCCGGGGAAAGCTGGCTGGGCTGCTACTCCTGACCCACGCTTAAGGCTCGTGTGACTTTGGGCAAAGCAATTCCCCTGAGCCCCACTTTCCTTTCCTTATAGGGTTTTTGTGACGATTAAATAGGGTCGATTGTGCAAAGTGCTTTGCTGTCATTTCCTGATGTGTTATATTTATGAACATGCAAGCTAGACTGTATAGGAGCGCTGTCCGGAAAGTATCCAGCCATGTGCTATGAAAAATTGTATTGACGATGGCTGGATACTTTCTGGACAGCTCTCGTGTGCTCAAAGCAAAAACACACACCCTGTGCGTGATGCCAGCTCATCCTTGGGTCCGCTCCTTGTTTCTCCCAGGCTTCACTTGGCATGGAGGCAGCCACACTGATTAGCCTCTCTGGCCATCTGGCTTCCAGGTGGGTTTGGCCACTGGGGGGCGCTGGTGAGAGCTTGGTGGACCAAAGGATCGCAAAGCCAGGGTGTCCCTCCCCTTCCCTTTGCTTCTGGTGGCATCTCTGGAAACTTCCATGTCTCCTCCATCATCTCAGCACCCTCTGAATCTGGAATTATTCTGGTTACTATGATGGGGAACTTCCTCGAATACTTCCACGGGCTAAGTGCCTTCCATAGGTCTTAATCTTATTTAATCCTCTTAACAATCCTATGAAGAGGGCACTGCAGTCATCAGCCCCATTTTACAGATGAGGACACTGAGTCTCAGAGAGGTTCACTTGCCCACTGCTGTCCCCAATGGCGCAGCCAGATTGGGAAACAAGGCAGCCTGGCTCGGGGTCCTGGCTCACCTTACCCTGCAGGGTGTGTGCCTTACACAGAAGGTCTGTGTGTGGGGGGCGCAAGCCTCGCTCTAATTAGCAAGCCACGACCCTAACCACCGGGCAGTGCTGCCCCCAAAGGCGGCAGCAGTCCCAGTTTTGACAGACACAACTGGCTGGGCCCGAGAGAGACTCTGCAGCTTTGATGGGAGACAGGATCCCATCCAGGCAGTTCCAGGAGAGAGATGGCTTTGCTTTGAACAGGTAACTCAACTCGATATAAAGAAAAGGTGGAGGGAGGGGAGAGGCGGGGAGGGGGGCGGGGAGAGGAAGTCCCCTGTTTCACAGAGCCCAGCCCTGAGGAGACGCTCTCTGATGACCAGGGGAAGGGCTTTGAAAAGTGGAGGGCAGCACCTCAAACCCCGCTCCCTGAAAGTGGGGGTGGATCCCGGCAGAAATCACATGCGGACCCCTGCTGCGGAGCCGGGGAGGCCGGAAAGGAGTTCAGGTGATAAAGAAGAAAAAAAAAAAAGATGTTAATAGAGGACTGTAATGCATCTGTCTGTAATTCCAGTCTTCCAATTCCCAGTTGGAAACCCCGGGAAAGGACGCAGCGGGCTGCGGCAGCCTCCTGCCCAGGTAGACCCCGCTCACCCCGCGGGGACGCTCAAAGCCAGGTGCACCTTTTGTTGGTTTGTGATGTGAGAGTCGCCGTGTTAAACATGGCCAGGCGGGCGTCTTGGTTTGAACACTCTCCTGTTTAGCTCCCTCCTTCTTCCAGACCCCTGAACCATCTGCTGGCCACAGATGGGAACATCTGGGGAGGAGACGGACCCCTCTCCCTGCAAAAACGAGGTGTCCGTGCCTCTGGTTAGGACAGAGGGACCCCCTGGTTGCCTCCAGCCTATTCTTCCAGACGAACATTTTAGAGCACAAAAACCGGGTCAGGTCACTCCCTGCTGAAATCCTTTGATGCCTTCCTATTGTGCTTAGACAAAAATTCAAACTCCTTACTCGGTCACCCAGGCCCTGCTATCTGGCCCTTGCCTCTGGCAACCTCACTTTGGACCAGTCTCCCCTTTGCCTGCTGCACTGTAGCTAAACAGCCTCCTCTCAGCTCCTTGGACACACCCTGCTGCCCATCACTGCCACAGGCCCTTTGCACATTCACTTTCCTCTTCTCGTGCCTCCCTTCAGGCTGCTCTTTGCAAGCCTGGCTCCTTTGCATTCTCTGGCTTCAGCTTCCATGCCTGGGGGCAGGCATTGCTCTTCAGGGACAGGTCTATTCTTTTCTCTCTCAATATCCTTCATGGCATTCCCACTATGTGTCATGAACTTATTTATTGCCTGTCCCTTTCCCTGGCCTCTTAAGCGCCCCCTCCCTGGATTCAGGGACCTTCTGTGTCTTGCACAAGCCGGTGTCCTCAGCGTCTAAGCACAGGGTGGGTGCTCAGTGGATATCTGTGGAATCAGTGACTGGCTAAAACAGGAAGCAGAGCTGGACGCTGCTGCAAGAACAGTGGGACCTGCTGGAGGTGACTGGTCCGCGGGGGCTGAGGACACAGAGTTACCAACTAGGAGTTGTCTGGCAAAGAAGGTGGGGGGGGGAAGGGCCTCTGCTGACGTGTTTCCGGGAGTGCCCCACCTTTCTATAGGCGTCTCACCCTCCACTGGCAAACCCTGTGTGTGGTAAGCATGGGTGCATATGAGCTTTGCCACCTTTGTTTTATTTGGGTCAATTTCCAGGGCTGGGAACCCCAGCTCCTTGTGCATCTCACTCTTTCCTTCTTTTTGCATCTATGTGACAGCAATAAGGCTGTGTGTGGTTATTCCCCCATCCCAACACATGTTTTCAACTACTCTGAGATGATGTAGATCAGCAGTCCCCAACCTTTTTGGCACTAGGGGCCAGTTTCCTTGAAGGCAAGTTTTCCGAGGACCGAGTTGGGGGGATGGTGAGGGATGGGGAGCAGCTGTAAATACACATGAAGCTTCACTTGCTGGCCCGTGGCTCACCTCCTGCTGTGTGGCCAGGTTCCTAACAGGCCATGGACCAGTACCAGTCTGTGGCCCAGGGATTGGGGACCACAGATGTAGATGAAGCCTTGGTAAGAAACATGATCAAACACAGAAAAGAAAGACATAGCAGCATGGACATACAGACACATACATGCATGTAAATGGTATGTATTTTTAAATAATACATGTGCATGCATTATTTGGACACAGGTAACCAATAGTGGAACTAAGAACTGTGATTTAGCTGTTTTGGGAAGGAGGGAGGAGAGGTGGGTGAATTTTCGAGTGAGCCAAGTCCTCATTTATCCAGGCAGAAGGTCAAGTGAACAGTGAATAAAGCAAGAAGTAAGGGTAAAAGCAGATTATTTGGAGATATGGAGGTGATCACCAGCAGAAATAAAAAACAGAAACAATTTTAAAAATTAAAAAGAAATTGAGAGGGGAGGGTTTTTAAGAAATTATTATTATAAGCCAGTGCTACTTGTTTTTTAACTATACGTACATATAACTTTGATACAATATTTAAAAATCTTTTATTTTTAAGTGTGCAATCAGTGGTTTTGATACAATGTTTAAAATATGTTAATATTATATTTTCTATAACATGAATACATAATTTTTCCTCCTCAAAAGACAAAGACAGATGGCATTGCAGCAGGAAGAAGAGACTA